CTCTATTCAGGAATCTTTGATGGCTTTGTGTTTTGTAAATCTGGAGCTGTTTGATTTCATCATTTGTGTTTACTTTGCAATCTGTAAGCTCCTGGAATTGAGGCTTATCTCTGCTACCTGATGGTAGCGGGAGATGGCAAAATGGAAGCCCTTTGTCTAAATTTGAAACAATTAAATGTTGCATAATAAATATTACCCTCAGAAGACCATATTTTAAAATGTTAATGACTCTAAACTGGCTTACCCATTATTCATAATTCTCAAACATTTCAGTAAATTGCATAAGATGAAATACGGGGGTCTAAGTGATCAGCAAGCCATGAAACTTATTTCACACATGTGTTGTTTTCTAAATGCATGATGAACTTGGTAACTTTTTTAAAATGTTGCTAACAAAACAGCTAGTGAGAGTCGGTAAAGATGGCATGTTCTGCAAACGCTTCATGGTTTACTTGTTTCCTCAACTCTGCATTCACATCATTTGTTCGAGGTTACCAATAAGGTACGTTGGCAGAGCTCAGAATGTTATGGGGCCTCAGTTCTGCAAGCTGCGTCCTGCTGGTGCATAAATGGAGTCTTTGGGGACAGAGAACGTGTTCGTTTGAGGACAGAGTCTCTGGGGAAATCCTTTGCTTGCCATTTGCTAAAGACCATTGTTGCAATGCCACAAAGTTGGATCTTACTCTCAAAATCTACAGCTCATCAGAAATTAGTCCACCATTTTGTCTCTGTCGGACTTCGTTGAAATGTCTTCAAAGGTTAACTCGGCAATTAAACTTTTTCTCTCACATGAGGAGAACATAAACTCATACAAGCACTGTGATACATGTACAAAAGGAATGGCCCCCTTGCAATGGGACGGGCTAGCTTCCTCCGGCTGACACGACACAAAGCTACCACCAGACGGTAACATTTTAGCATCTACGCTGTAAGCGGAAAATGAGAGCAGTTAGGGCCGTATCTCCTGGAGATTCTTTCTGGACTTGGGTAACCCAGGCTCCTGTATTAGCTGCTGTGAAATGGCGACAGGTGTGAGAGAAGCCGAGGGCCCCAGAGGGAAGCATGTGACGCCTAACCACAGGGCGTGTGCAGGCCTGGCGTGTCTTCACCCACCGTCCCGAGGCTGGGACTTCTTTCCTGAGGACAGAAACGGCCACTTGTGCTCGGTTCCCCTTGTGCATTTCCCCCTTTTTCTGTAGTATCACTTCCATTTTTTCCTAGTCCTACGAGCATGCAGAAACAGAGCTGCTAACTTACAGTTAGTGCTGCAAGTAGACGTGGTACAGCAGCTTGTGGGATGTGTGTGTGTGTGTGTTTAAAAAATATTTATTTTGTAAGATAACTGGGATGTAGGCCAGAAGTGTATGTATGTGTGTGGAGGGGGTGGGGGGTGAGAGGGTTCACCAGAGACAGTGGGGAACAGAACAGGCAGGTCGCCAACCTATACTCCCAAGGAAGCAGCGGGTGGGACAGGAGAGGTCTGCTGTGCTGCTTGTGGATCAGCTCCCTGGCTGGAAAGCGAATTCAGGCCACAGAGGTGCTAGTGCTGAGACTTAGCCCCTGCCACAAGTGAGGCCCTGTGGGATGTGTTCTTAGGGAGGAGGCCAACCCTGCCTCTGTTTCTTCTTTCTTGCTTGATTGAATGACTATGTGATGGTCAGAACTGTGGCAGTCATTTTGAACCATGAGGCTGACTTAAAAAGCAGAGATGAGACACAAAACCAGTAGACAGAAGAGCTCTTCTCCTATAGGAGAGCTCTGTATCATCTACCTCCAGGCATCTATGTTGGCCCAAATCCTGAGCTCTGCTCAGGTACAGAGGAGTATGGTGTATTGTATCTTCCCTGTAAAGTTATATGATGGTTACAGAGCCATCTTGGTTAAGATTTCTGCTTTCAGGGTTTTTGTAAGTAAAGATTATCATACCAATTTTTAAAATCATGTCCATGTTTTTAACATTAACAATTAGAGGATATAGTTTTTAGCCATGAAATTGAGATGTGCTTACAGGTTTAGAACAGGGTCAGAACTGTGATCATGACTTAATTACTGTGAATTAGGTAACATTATTTTTGTGGATGATTTTGATTGACAATTTTCATTAATGTATGTATTTATTGTGCTCATTAAAATTTATCTATAAGCCAATGTTATTACTTTTTTTTACTATAATATTTTATTTTTACATATTTTGTGGATTTTTCCATCTCAGTTGCAATCCCCTTGGGTTTCCCATCACCGAATCACCCATGTTATCACAATACCTTTAACAAACAGATTATTTCCTTAGGTGTCCCTTTAGTTATTTAAAATTTATTTGGGCATACAAGAACTGGGTACAGGCCAGAGGTGCAGGGGAGGAGTGAGAGGAGAGAGAGAGTGGGGAGCAGGACAGGCACACTGATGAGATCCATTGACAGGTCAGTCTGCTGCGCCATGTGGGTAGCTCCCTGGCGGGCGATGGAACCAACACTACAGTGGCTGCAGGCGGCTTCACAGAGCTATCACCTAACCCCTTGCACCACCATGGAGGCCTAGTGCCCCTTCTTTTAACTAAAACCATTTCTCTTCTTCTTCTTTTTTCTTTTTTGCAGAGATCATAGGCTGCATCTTTCTGCCTCTTTCTATAGAATCGCTTCTCTACTTGCTTTCACTTTTATCGACTAAAGCTTGATTCTCTCACTCTGATTCATTATAGAATTGACCATGATATTTGACAAGGGGGTCAGTGAGGACCCGAGAAGGTGGAGGGAGGCCACTGAGACTGAGGTGAGGGAAGAGCGAATTAAAGGCTTGCCCATAAACAACTTACCACAGTTTCCCTGCAAAGGCAGAATGGAAAATCCATATGGTAACGAGGAAGATGTGGTGGAGGAGAGTTCTGGGAGCATTTAAGTGTGCGACCGAGGAACTTTATTATGTGCATGGCTGGGCACGAAGGCCCGCAGGGATACCAGATACTAAATCTTAAACTCGGAGCCTTGGCATGATGCCATCGGAGTGGTCGGGCGAATTCCGGAACATGGTAGGTTCACAAAAGGAAAACGCAAGGGGAGAAAGGCCCAGTCGCCCCTCCCAGGGTGAGATAGGAAGAGGCCCCGAGATGCCGTGTAGTTTTGGTGTGTTGGGGTCAAGGTCCAGTCTTCCAGGGCGGCCAGACGTGCGTGGCCTGAAGATGCCCGTGTGCGCGCCTTTGTCTCCTACACCGCAGGCTGTGGAGCAGGACGGCGTCATCGCAGTAGGCGTGCGGTGATGGTCCACACCGGGGGCGCGGGGGGGTGGTGGGTGTCTGCGCGGCGTCCTGGGCGCGAGGCGCGCTGCTGGCGACTCTGGCCGCCCTGGCTGCACTCTGCTCTGGGCCAGCCTGGTGGAGCCTG